CAGGCGAGTGTTGAGTGGTTAGTAGGAGATGCCTCAGCAAAAATACGAGCTAGAGCTACTCCCCCAAGGAACTCCAGATTGGGTGCCTGAAGCTTGGGGAAGTACCATTGCAGCCACAACTGGACTATCCAGGTTGGCCCGTTAAGGTTGGTCTCAAAGGGTTCGCCTTTAGTCATCTTAAAGAAAATGTGGTAGAGGTAAGCGAGAATGAAAGGCCCCATGGCCACATCGTCGAAGGAATAGAGGGATTCCACTAAGGGCATCCACTCTAGCTTCACTATTTTGGATTTGTTGGGGAATACATATTTGTTGAGCCAGTACATGTGCTTCTGGTCCGTGCTTGCAATGGCTGAAGGCGGGCTGAATGACTTTTTCACGAACGGAATGAAGCCCGCAAAAGACGTCTCATAGCTCTTGAATGTCAAAGGAGTGTACTTCAGTCAAGTAATGAGATCTAAAGTGCCCAAGCTCTCGGCAGTTAGGCAAGAAAGGGAGGACCAGTCGTGGGTGACATCCACGCACCAGCCCAAGGGCCTTAGCCCGAAGACTTAGGCCGTATCAATGACAGTTAGAGACATGAGACCCATTCTAAAATCGAATGTATTGGTCTCATTGTTCCAAAATAATAGAGTTGTGGTCAGGAGCTCGGGCTTGGCAATCACCATGACTTTGGAGAGCATCATGAGCTCGTAGATGCCATTGCTCATCCACTTCTTCTTCCAAATAGGCTTGAGTTCATCTACCCATTACGACCAGGCTTCATCCTTCATCAATAGGAAGCCTCTTCGATGGGTAAACCACTTGGAGGCCGAGATGCCAGCCTCAGCGGAATATAGGTTAGGGGTGAACCAATTGGCTTTAGGCATGTTATTCTCCACAGAAATTGGGACCCTGGAAGTTTAGGCAAGCCCCAGAGAGTGTACTCCTCCTTCTTCGAAGAAAATAGAAGTATTTAGACTTGCCCGAGGGTAATAAAGGTCGTTAATTCGGCAGCGCATATTGATGATCCCCTCGCCAGACTCACATGCAGGATGAACGGTTTTGGGTGCCATTAAATGTTTTTTAGAAAGGGAGTGAAAGAAAATTGAAGGCAGAAAGCAAGAAAGAATTGTGAAGGCAAGAAAGAATTGTGAAGGCAAGGAAGTTCTGGAAGCTTAGAGAATTAGAATTGCTAAGGTATTTCGCCGAGAGGTTTAAGTGGAGATTATGTAGTGAGCAGTTAGTTAACGTTGGAAATCATGGGTTAGTGCAAAGGTTTATTCGAAAACGGTTGGTTAAATAGTGCAAATCCCGAGGAAAAGCATGCGGCGGCTATTTTAATCATTAATAATGTCTCGGATTGCAGACTTAACAATGATTAAAGGGGGCATTGTTTAGATTAATATTTGAATATTGGGCTTAACTGAAGAGAGGCCCAAAGGTGCCAAAATGAGATGAACTTGCCCAAAGCCCAACTACGAAGCCTGAAGCAAATTAAAGCCTTCTCAGCCAAGGCATAGGCCATGTGCCTATGATTGAAGTGATAAGTGACAAAGACCAGCTCACTAACAAACAAAAAGTACTTTTTGATGGCATAAAGGTGTAAATACAAGATGACTCACTGCCCTTGAAAACCCTCAGCCACGAATGAGGCTAAAGCAATCAGGCCAACAGAGACAAGGATACTCAACCAATCAAACTCAAACAATATATAAACTCTGCTCTCAAGCCAAATTTGCATCTAGAAAAGCTGAAACTCGTCCAGATTCAGTCATTTTAGCAATAGTTCCCTTAGAAAAGCTATCTTTTGTCTAGTGTAAAAGCTATGCTACTGTCCTTAGTGTTGTAGTATCAATTCCCTCGTGTAAAACGTGTTTACCATCCATCCCTTTTTAGCATACAACTCCTGTAAACTCAAAAAGAAGTGGTTGCAGGAGGTTTGACCTTGCCCGACAAGGTGAAATCTTGCCCGAGTCTCTTTGCTTGCACATTAAATTAGTAGATCTATCACTTAATGTACTTTTCAGTATATATTCAAGTTATTCTTAACTACTTTCTACCTGATAGCCCATTTGCAATCAGATCTAGTTAACTTAATAAACCTGTTTACATTAAAAAAGCAAACTAGAATCGAGGAAATGGTTTAATGGGCTCTGGACTCCCTCCTTTTTGGACATATGAGATTATGAATTAAAAGTCCTTGTTTACAAGGCAAGAAAAAGAACTTAATATAAACTTAACCCATATGTGACAATCCTTTAATAACAAGAAGTTTGAGTAACTTGGGCGCAAGTAATCAACTTAAATCATATCTATTCTACATCTGTTATACTGAGATAACAGTAGCAAGCCTGACACTTTGTTAGTTTTGATTGCGAGCCTCAAGGCCTACACCTAAGGCCTTATAAAGGCACCTTTCAAATTAACTATGAACTCCTCTTGTAGTACGCCCAAGCAGTAAGAGCCTAACTATCATACTCCAAGTGCCATTCACCCCTGGGGAGTTATGCGAAGGGTCGAATCCATCTTTGCCACGAACAAGTGTGATTCACATAAAACCAAAGCCAACCTCTACCACCATACTCCTCCTATTCTCCATGCACCCTCCATCAACTCCATACACACAAGGCGATAAGCGTCACAATATACGAGGAATGAAGAATTATGCGAAACCAGTTTGCGGTCTTATGGTGGTTCGATTTATTTAATACATGTTGTGGGTAAACTTTTTTCACATCATTTATGATGTATTATTAGATCAAAACGTTGTAATGGTCATAAACTTATTTTAATTTATTTTGAATAAGTTGTTCTCCAATAATAGGACAATTAGCAACACTTTGTGACACACCCTAACCGCAGTGGAGGCATGCTAGCCATCACGTGAGGGTGACGTAGCCAAGTGTGCAACAGAAGTGATAGTAAATGTGAATAAATAAAAATCAAAACTAAACTTATTTAACTAGAGATAATATAAGTGTGTGAACGTGATCAAGTATATGATACCCACATATCAGAGTATAGGCAACACAAAAGTGTAGTCGAACTAACTAAACGCTAATTATACAAACTAGGAAAGGATCCTTACAATATTTAATGGAATGTTAGAACCTTCGAGTAGTCCTCGTGAGCCACTAAAGATAAACAGCTACCTAGAACTGATAAGTAGCAGGATTGTAGCCCCCTAGCTTCGCTTGTCCACGCTAGTCCTCGGGGTACGTCTCACCTTCTTCTTCTCCAGTCACCCGTCTGCCTCCGCCTTCCGCCCCCGCCGGCCGCCGTCTGCACTTGCCAGTTTCTATTGGAAGTCCAAAATCCAACGAAAAACGATCGGAAAATTCTTTGGAAAATCCGGCCAACTTTGCACTCACCTATTCTGATGTCCACTCCACTCCAAATCTACTCTAAAGTGCTACGGAAGTTGCATAGAGACCATCCCAAGCCTCAAAACCTTGTAAATTGTCCGTGATCGTGTCAGAGCTTATGGTTTTCGAGCTAAAACTCACCAAAACAGAAAACTAAGGGTATGATTGTAATCGTGAAGTCAAGAAGAGAATGGTGATGGTTTCCAAAAGTTTGATCCGTATGAGTTTGATGATGGTTGTGTGTGGGGTGTCTCAGGTGTACGAAGGGAGAAGAGTCGAGAATAAGAGAGAAAGGGAAGAGTGTGTGCGTGTGTGCGTAAGTGATTGGGCAAAAGAAGAAAATTACATTTTCTTATTGGGATACCGTGAGAGAGAGAGAGAGAGAGTTATATGTGTAATTGGCCCAAAGAAAAATAAAAACAAACTGCCTGATTGGGCCAAGGGAAAAACCCATCAAGTTAGTTCAAAAATTACTTGTTACGCACTTAAATAATCGTTATTTTTTCGTTACGACTCCATTTTGGTTCTAACTCACTTCAACGCACTCATGACGTCAATTACGATTTAATTACGATAGTGAGAAAGATAATTTAAATTTGCACACATACATCCACGTCACTTAGCCAACGAGGGCATATTAGTCATTTTTACACTCGGGGAGAAAATTACATAATAAATTGGGACGGGTGAGGTCACCACACTTTGTTTGCGACTCTACACTAAAGTTCGAGTTTCTCTCTCGCAATTATAAATTTTTTTTCAAAAAATAAAATACATTCAAAACTTGTAGTAGTCTTTTATTATCTAATAAAATTAGAATGACAAAAAAAAAAAAAAAAATAGCATGGCCTACACAAGGATGATAAGCATAAATTGACAACATTGTCCAAATTTTTGTAAGTGGAGGTTGCTTTGGTGATTTCTCTTTAAACCATTACATTTTGGTTCAAACTCTTCTCCCCCTTCTTAGAGTTTTTAGGTAAATTACCGCGCATATTAAAAGAAAATACATAGCCCATTCCCAATTATTGTCTTGTCAAAAGAATTTCTAATTATTTTTTTGGTGAACGAAAATTTCTAAATAAAATATCGTTCTCAGTTCTAGCAAAATTCTACATTTTCTTGTGTGACTTCGAATAAAATTTTAGAAACTATTAATTAGGCAAAGATAGTCATCTGGTGAAGCAACTACAAAACAAAAAAAAATCATGTGACACTTAGTACTACAGTCTGGTGGTATTCCTCTTTACTTGAAAGAGAGATTTTAGATTCGAATGTCGTGGATGACGAATTCGATATCAAATTATGTTGTTCATTATGTAGCTTAACCGAACTTCTTATTATTTTATTATAAAAATATCGGCGTGCTTGAAAAGTAAAAAAAAATAAAAAATAAAAAAAAGAAGCAGAAATTGAAGAGAAAAAAAAAATAACCCCATCACCCGTCGTTGGATCTCAGTTGCTATGCGTACACGTAGGTGGGTGGTTTGCGATGCGTCGTTTTCCAAGCAAACCAGGACGCGGCACGCCGTTTGTATTGCAATCTCCACCGTATTAATTTGCGTGTCCAAACACCCCCATTTTCTCCGCAATCTTCCCCCAAAAAATAGTCCTATATAGAACCCACCAAAATTTGCCAAAACTCATCAAATTCAATCCTCATCCGCAACAAATTTCAAAAACGCAGAAAAACCCACATACCCAATCGATAAATTTCCTGATTTCCCCCACAAAAATACAAAATCATGATGAAAGTTCCCATTTTTGCCCTTCTGATCTGCCTCCCCTTTGTCTTGTCGAACGGGTACGGCGGCATGGTCGGGGGAAGGAGGCAGATCGAGAACGTGAAGTCGAACAAGGAGGTTCAAGAGTTGGGGAGGTTTTCGGTGGCGGAATATAACAGCAGGCAGAAGGCAAGCCGGAAGATGGACAGCGGCGGAGAGCTTCAATTTTTAGAGGTGGTGGAGGCGCAGAGCCAGGTGGTTTCTGGCATCAAGTACTACCTCAAGGTGTCGGCCGTGAGGAATGGGGCGCGCATGTTGTTCGATTCGGAGGTGGTGGTGAAGCCGTGGCTCCGTTCCAAGCAATTGCTCAACTTTGCCCCTCATGCTCCCAATTGATTGATTCGAATTCCAATTCCAATTCATAATGTTTGAATTGGGGTTTTGGGGGGTGTCTGGTCTCGGATCTGTGTTTGTGTTTGCTTGTACTAAATTACTAATCTCGTTGTATCTCATGTTTTTTCTTTCTTTTTCTCGTGTTTTTCTTTCCCTTTTTTATTTGTGTTGGGAGGCGTGGTTGCGAAATAGGAGTGTGAGTATCAATAAATGGTAGTAATTAACTTATGCTAATACCAGTTAATGTAATATTTGTAATTACTGGTCTTTGTTCTATCAATCTGTGCCATAGAATTGAATGCACAAATAGTATTATTAGATACAATGATGAATGTGTATCTTTTTCTTTTGTTTGAAAAATAGCTTAATTCAAATCCTCGAACATCCAAAACCTTACCCTATATCCTATTTTAAAGTTTGACGCGTCCGCTGCTAAGAACGTGTCCATTAGAGCATCATAAAAGAGATGTTAAAAAAAAATCTTACATGTTAATTAATGATTAACGTAGTAATGTCATAATTTTTTTTTCTTTCACCGACCCATGTAATTTTTGTTGTAAATGATATTTAAAGGATTTTTTTTATTAAAATAAATATGCATTAGTGGGGCTCACACAATAAAATAATTAAAAAAATTAATTGCCATTACTTTTTTCTCATATGTCAAATTTGGCAACGGAATATTCACATGTCAATCCACATAGGATTGACATATATGTGGATTGGCATACAGGTTTGAGATTTTTCCTATCTTCAAGTTTGATTGCATTACATCTCTCTCTTTCAAATGCTTTTAACTCACTTAAAAACACTAAAAAAAAAAAAATGAAAACAAATATGTAACATATAGAACCCATACCATAACCATCTCTCTCCTCCTAATCTTCTCTCTCTCTCTCTTCCAATACTCAAATTGAAACAGAGCTCCAATGTTCAAAGAACTCGGCCTTGTAGACGAATGATAGATCCGATGGTGACAACGTCAATGGTGTAATCGCGAAAATTGAAGTAAAACATGCGCTTGGTGTTGAAGTTGGAAGACCACGATCACATTGAGTTAGAAAATTTTGAAAATTCAACAATGACACACCCCGATCCAGAATGTCCATCTGGACTCCGAATCGATCTATGCTGCAACCAGGAAGGTGATGAAGTCATAAAGTGCGGTGATGTGGAAAATATGAGTAAATTTAAACCTAAAAGTGACTAAATGCAAGAGTGTGCATGTGAGCGGGATTAAACTCATTTCACACGTGATGTCAAAGTATAAGTAAAGTACAGTAAAGTAGAATAAGAATTATACCATCGGAAGTAGTCTCCTATACCAACTTTTTCCAGGAATCCTCGTCGACACAAGAGCTCTGCCACTACATCTTGGAGGTTCGAAAAATAAGGGTGAGTGGGCTTGAAAATAAAGTTTTGTAAAAATCTTTTCGAAAACATATAACCCCTCGCCGTAAAACAAGTATTGTAACATCCCGTCCCGAAACTAACGAGACGTACATTTAAAATGACAATTTTACCCTAATTTGTTTGTGTACGTTAAGTGTTGTGTAGTGTGGTGTTGTAGGACCACACACACACTCACACCTCACCCTCACTTTCCCGGGATTCCCTCCCTCATTCCCTCACTCTTTGTCTCTCTGTCTCTGTCTCAGTCTCTCTCTCTCTCTCTCCCCGAATCCATCTTCTTCTTCTTCCTTCAACACACACGGCCACACATACAAACATACTCAAACCTGCACCAATTAAGAAACCAAGACCACCCTCGTGCTCGTGAGGTTGTGAGGAGCACAACCATACCAATTCCAGGTAAGAATTCGAACGTTTTCACGTCGTTTCAACAATGGCCGAATTTTACACTGTTCATGCAAACCTAAACTAGCTTGTTTTTGGAATTTCTAAGCTTGTAGTTGTGCTTGTGAGGTCCCAAGGAGCCTCGGAGTAGTTCGTTGGGTGAATTTGGACGTCGGGATCGTCCTGTACGAAGTTGGCCGATTCTTGAAGTTGAAGACAGGTATGATCTAGCAATTTTTAGGCCTTAAAACTAGTCTAACGTGATTCTACTAGTCCTAAGCTTCATTTTGGTATAAAGAACGTGAAAAATGGTTGAAAAACGAAGGAGAAAACTTAGTTTGAAAATTACCCAGTTTTCCGGCGCCGGCGTCTCGCCGGAGAAGAAAGGAGAATATTCCGTTAAGTCTAACGGAATATTCCTAACGGCAGTGACAGAATCCGGTTAGATTTGACGGAATATTCCGTCAGTTAACGGAATATTCCTGACGGCGTCAACTGACGCCGTCAGTGTGCAGTGCACGTGGGCCGCGCGTGGGGGCGCGTAGGTCCGTGCGTGTTCAGGCGCGTGGGGGCGCGTGCGTGGTCCAAAAATTTTTCTAAAAATATGGGCGTGATCCTGAGGTTGTGTAGGTCACGTTGGTATATTCATTTGTCCAATTTGAGCAATGTATGAGAAGTTATTACGAGAAGTTGCTTAGGTGCTTTTAAATTAATGTTTTCGTAACTTTGTCGCGTATAGGTGATTCGTTTTCCGAGGACGAGCGTACGCACTCGAGGCAGGGGGGCTACGACCCTTCTAATTATCAGTGAGTGGGCTTTTGTTTTCCGTATATACCTATATACATATTAATTCCCAGAAATTAAATAGAAAAGGTTATATGTTTTATGCCATGCATCATTTGAATATTGTTTACGCATCATCACGTGCGTTGGTAGTTGGCATACATATATAAATGTGTATTTGGTGCTGTGGACGCACAGGTAAGTGCCAGGTAAGCGGTATTCATGTGGTTATGCATTCCTGTTTATTATGCAATAGTAGTTTGAAATGCTTAGAGAGCTCATAATCTGCACCCCCGGTGTTAGTGCTCCCGCCCAGGGCCAGGGCACAGTCCTTCACGTGATGTTCACCAGCACCACACGCTCGCCTTGGATCCAAGTTAGGTGCAAGCCTTGTCGTACAGACCACATTAGGTGGTTCCGACTCGTAGGTGACCCGCGATTATTCGCACAGTCTTCACGTGATCGTAGCACTAGAGCGTATATATTACACCCAGTCTTGTCGTACAGACCACGTTAGGTGGTTCCGACTCGTGTGCAGATTCAGATATTGAGTTGAGATTGAAGCTCTATATGCAGCCGTACAGGTCACGTTAGGTGACTCCCGGCTGCCAGATTATATATATTCGATGTGAATTACGCTTGAGCATTTATAATTGATTATGATATTCTGTAATGGCATATTCTCAAGCATGAATGGCATATTGCAAAGCATGAATGGCATATTGTGAGCATGAATGGCATATGTGGAGCATGATTGACATATCTATACATACGTATATATGTTCATTTTCTGGGAAGTATACAGGTTTTACGGCGAGGGGTTAGAATGTATTTTTGTTAAAGAGTTTTAAAAGAGCTTTGTTTTTGCCCACTCACGCTTTTGTTTTTGCGCCCCTCCAGGTTCTAGTGGTCTAGCAAGTTCGGTGGTCCATCCCAGAGGGCGTCCCGGCATTTCTGACAGACACTCACCATTGTAGGGTCACCTTCGGGTGTACATATGTCGTAACTTTCCTTTTTCGACTGCTGTAGACTTGCTCTGAATTGTGTCTCACATACACTAGTACTTTGTATGCTATTAGGTTTTTAATTATTCGTACTTTTATATTACTATACCTTTAGCTTCCGCACGCGCACATGGCTACGTCACCTTCGCGTGACGGCCAGCATGCCCTGATCTCGGTCGGGGTGTGTCAGCTTGGTATCAGAGCCTAGGTTTGGCAGTCCTGTGTCTTTGTGAGTATTCTAATAGTTGGTGTCTTATGTCAGAATCATGCCGCCTCGTCGGGAACCACGTCGCTCAGATGAGTCTAGTTTTCCTGATCTTACTCAGTTGGGGGAAGTGATTGCTACAGCCCTTCAAACAGTGATGCGCCCTCCCCAGAGGACTCCTCTGGAGACTATGTATAACTTGAAGTTGGATAAGTTTAAAGGTAACGAGGGTCACGAAGGCGCAGAACGTTGGTTGGAACACATAGAGAAGACTTTCCGTGTGTTGCATAACCAGGGGAACCTTCCTATGGAAAGGTGGGTTGAGACAACCTCTTGGTTTCTGGAGATGGAGTCTGCAGCTTGGTGGGAGCAAGAACTTCGTAGGTTGACTCCAGCTCAGAGGACCGATTGGAATGTTTTCAAAGACGTGTTTCAAAGGAGATTTGTACCCCCTGAGTATATCGACCGTAAGAAACAGGAATTCACTGAATTGAAACAGCGAAAGATGACGGCTAACGAGTACTATCGTAAGTTCACTGATTTGTCTCGTTACTATCCCGATGTCGCTGGTAATCAGGCGGAGATGCTTCGTCGTTTTCGCTTGGGCACTAAGAAGAAATGGCGTTCTATGGTAACTACTACTCACTGTGAGTCATATCAGGAGTTCTATGAGATATTGTTGAGGGTAGAGGACTCTGAGAATATGTCAAGTGATAGTGACGAAGAGAAAAACGGCAATCAGAAGAAAGACGACAAAGGAAAAGGTCAAACATCGTTGGGGCCTCGCCAAACTCAGAACTTTAAAAGGGGTGGTGCAAGTTCAAGTTCGTCTAGTGGTGGTTTCAGTGCCTCTGGACAAGGACGTGGAGGTAGGTTTTATGGAGGTGCTCGAGGCCAGAGACAAGATGATGGTGGCCGAAACCGACTCCCATTTTGCCGTAGATGTAATAATCGACATTTCGGCGAGTGTAGGCGTGGCAACGGTGCTTGTTTCACGTGTGGGCAGATGGGACATAGAGCGGTGAATTGTCCCCAGGGTCAGCAACAGAAGCCGCAGCAGACCTTTATGCCGCCACCTGCACCGATTCGGCAAATCCAAGGTCCGAGTAATTATGGTCAAACAGGTAGAGGTGGTGCCTATCACTATCAGGGTGATGCTGTTCCCTATGCCCCGGGACCGTATCAGTACCCCCAGGACCCGTATTCACAAGGTGGTTATCCCCCGTATCCCAGCAACTACATGCCGTATCCTCCAGCTCCAACAAGTGGTTCTCAGTGGTACCAAGGAGGACAGTATCAGCAGGGTGAGAATGCCACTAGTAGTGCAGGGTCTTCGAGGCAGATG